ATGAGCATATCCCTGGGCACTTAGTGAAGGACCAACCTCTACTGGCATGCTCCTCTCATTTTCTCAATCTAAATTTTAATCCACAGAAGCTGCTACCCGCCTCTGGCATCTTTAGACCCCAGGCCCAAAGGTACCCGGCCTGGCCCATAGGCTGCGGCTGCGAGTGCGAGGGGAGGCAGGAAGGGAAGGCACCAAGGTGCGGGACCCCAGGCCACACAACTGTTAAAGGCTGTTTCCCCAGTGTCTTCCTCTATCTCTTTTTTCAGTGTTTTGTAGTTTTCAGCATATAAGTCTTTTACCTCCTTAGTTAAGTTTATTCCTAGGTATTTTAATTTTTTTGGCGCAATGGTAAATGGGATTGCTTCTGTAGTTTCACTTTCTCTAAGTTCACTATTGGTGTAAAGAAATGCCATGGATTTCTTAGCATTAATTTTGTATCCTGCTACATTGCCGAATTCTTTTATTAAGTCTAATAATTTTTTGATGGAGTCTTTAGGGTTTTTTAAGTATAATATCATCTCATCTGCAAATAAGGACAGTTTTACTTCTTCTTTTCCAATTTGGAAATATTCATTGGCCCTAGCTGGTTTGGCTCAGTAGAGGGTCAGCCTGCGGACTGAAAGGTCCCGGGTTCGATTCTCGACAAGAGCACATACCCAGCTTGCGGGCTCAATCTTCCTCCCCCTTCCTCTCCTAAATCAACAAAAATATATTTAAAAGAGACCCACCTCAGAACAGAAGACTCACAGGATGAGAGTAAAGGGCTGGTAAAAATTTAAAATAAATCAATCAGTATTCATTGAGCTCCTCCTCTGTGTCAGGACCTTTTGGGGAATGACTGGGAGGCAATGAATGTCCTCCCTGGAGAAGTCTGTCTGAGGAGAAAAGAGAGATAGGGGTGAAGTAACGGGAGGGGGTGCAGTTTTCTGTTGCTGTTTTAACAATTGGAAGGTTAATGCTCATCTTTTTTCTCCTACCAAACTGAATTCTTTTTCAGAAGGAAGATGTAAATACATCTACCTAAACACTGAACAGTTCAAAAGATCTTTGAACAGCAGTGTTTAAATAAATACTTGGTGAATAAAAAGAGTTCTACTACCACTGCCTCCATTTCCTTCTTTCCTATCCCCACTCTTTGTATCTCTGACCTCCTGAATTCCTATAGTCCCTGGGAATGCTTTTCAGACCAGGAACGAGGGAGACAGTGACCTTGAAAATCAAATGGAGGCAACTCCAACCGCTACCAGAAGAGTCTGTAACACCGCAGGTTGGTCATTCCTGAGGTCAGGAACCACATCTTGCTCATCTGCGTATCTTCAGCAGCTATCACAGGCTTGGTGCAGAACGGAAGCTCAGTGCATAGTGAGTCGAAGCTTACCACCTAGTGATCCTCAGGGCATCACGGAAGCACAGATCTATCAATTCATGTGAGACATGATGCCCACATTTAGCATTTCATTTCTTCATAAAAAAAAAAAAATGTTTTCTGAGCCTCATTACGGGCCCAGTGCTGGGTACTGAGGTTACTCAGTTAGTTACTCATTTAACAAATAGTTAAGCACTTGACTTCATAGCACTTGCTGAGGATTCGGGGTTGATACTCACTCTGTCTTCGTGGGGCTGCAATGACCTGACTCAGCCTTGTATGACAGCTGGTCTGCCTGTTTCCCCACCAGATTACAGACACTTGCAGAGAAGGGAGGATGAAGAATTCACGGGCACACCCCCAGGAAAATAAAAGCATCCTATGGGATTGATAATCATCACTCTTCTGCTCAGCACCACTCTGGATCTCCATTTCACTTACGGTAAACAGCCAAAATCTTTACAATGGCCTGTACTGATCATTCAGGTCTGCCTCCCCCGTCTACTGTCCCCTGCCACCTGACCTACTTGCGGAGCCTCAAACATACCAAGGATACTCTCACCCCAGGGCCTTTGCCCTTGCTGTTCTCTCTACCCCCCAATATTCTTCCTCTAGTCGAGGTAATTATGTAACTACATTTCTCACTTCATTCAGGTTGTCACTATCCAACGTGGCATATATACATATTTTTAAAATATATTTTATTGATTTTTTACAGAGAAGAAGGGAGAGAGAGAGTTAGAAACATCGATGAGAGAGAAACATCGATCAGCTGCCTCCTGCACATCTCCCACTGGGGATATGCCCGCAACCAAGGCACATGCCCCCGACCGGAACCCAACCCGGGACCCTTCAGTCCGCAGGCCTACGCTCTATCCACTGAGCCAAACCGGTTTCGCCCAACGTGGCATATATTTTACTTAGTTTTTGTGGGAGCGTCCCCATTCTTACAATGTAACCAAGCGTTCTGTTTGCTTTGTTCACTATTGTAAGGGGCTTGGTACATAGTAGATGCTCAATGAATACTCGCTAGCTGAATTAATGCATCCACTTTCTCAATAGCCAGCTTCCCCGTGTGAAGCATCCTCAGTCCTGGCCTGCCCCCTCTCCACCCCGAGCCCCCACCCCCACCCTCCCTCATCTCCCAGTTTTCTAACTCAAGT